CGTTCCCCAAGTAACGCTAGCAAAACACGTATTACCATGTCCGCCTGTACTCTTAACGCAAGAAGACTAAATAACCGTGGTCGCTCATATGGGGCGCCATCAGGAAACAACCCGAGATCGACAGGACCTTTTCGCCGGCCTGATTACTGTCTACACGACATGCTTGTAAGATCAGCGCTGGTGGATTCCGCAGCAGCGCTTCGCAAAATCCCTCGATCCTTTTGGCATTGCGAATCGAGTCGGTAGGCAGGGAAAATAAGGGGAGCACAGTCAACTCAAACGTGCCGTGCCGCAGATTCACGACTTTTTTTTTCCCCGGCTGGTCCGCCTGCGCGTCGGCGGAGCTAGCTGCCAGCTACAGGATGCCTACGGCGGCTCCGCCAGGAGGTCTCCCAGCGGCAGCTCTGCACCGTCGCTGTGGCGTTCCAGCAGGCTCTGCGTGTGCGCGCGCAAGGCCGCGAGCCCTAAACCCTAAACCGTGTCCAACAATTCCTCGCGACTGCCAACTCGGCATGACCCCGCATGAATCCTGCCGGACGACAACATACGACAACACAAACAAAATTGAAGCATGATCGAACACAAAATTGGTACCAGTGATAACTAACACATATTAACACCCGGGAGTGCGGTGGGTGGCGAAGGTGCATCTTGCCATGGCGTTGCGGGCGGAGTGGCAGGTTGGGGAAGGAACCGCAGATGCGCAAGTGGGCGCAGGGTTCTGCTGTGAAAGTGCGACGCCGCAATACCTCGTTGTGCGGCTCGAGAACGCCGGCTCTGTCCGCGCGCGTTGGGCTTGGCAAGTGGTCCTGGCGCCTGTAATTACCAGTAGGGCCCAAGGCCCATGTGGGTTGTTTCGCCGATGCGTCATGGACCGCGCGCAAATAACGGCAGACGACCAGCATTGGCAGCTCCAATGCATCGGCGCGTGGTGGACGGGCCTGCGGGCTGATCGTGGCAAACACACGCACGATGATCGCGTCGTGATACGATGTGAAACAACTATTTCGATATATATATATATATATGCGCATGCTTCTCACAAACGCAAGCAGGGTCCTGCAGCAGCACGTTGGGGCACAGGATGACACAGGGCTTTGAGCTGAATGAGTTCTTGACCACTGCTCGACGCCCGCGCAACGTCTGCTGGTACCATATTTTTCGTTGACCCGCTCGTGAAAGTGGACTTGCCGACCAAGCGGGACTGCTGCGCAAGCGCACACAACTGCCCGACCTCCAATGCGTATGGTTGCTGCTGGCGTTTTCGCGCGGCACACTGCCTTACCACGTCGTCGGCCGAGGGGTCTCGCGCTGAGCTTACTGGGCGGCGAGGGCTGATGCGTTCCCGGTCTTGCTCCGACGGTCCGAAGCCGATGATGGGTATTACGGGACCGCTGCCTCACTGGTCTATTGCGGAATGCGCGGCTACAGGTCACAGGTCGTCTGCGAGGCGGTTGGACCCAGGGTCGACGATGCAAACACACCAGGTCGGTTGCCCCTGGCGTTGGCCGCGTTACGCACTGGTAGCCTTAGGCCACAGGATGCTTGGAGCCCAAAACACCGGCAACTGACCGTATATCTTAGCCAACAAATCGCTCAGTTTAGCGCTGGGGCTCCAACTTCACCGGCAACAAATTGCACATCGTAGCTACAACGCTGTGGCACCACTTGGAGCCAAACACACCGGCAGCAAATCGAGCATGTTAAACATGGGCCACAACTTAAGACCGGGTCACCGACCGGGATACGGCCAGGACACCACAATGTGGACACCGACCGAAATTACTTGATACTACATCGCGGTCGACGCGTCCAGCGACCGGGAAGCTCTTCCCAGCGTTTTCCCGAGGCGTGGGCCAGGGCGGGCGAAGTGTCTTGCGGGAGTACTTGGAGTCGGGTTCTGCACGGGGCCTGGTCCTTTTTTTTCCATTTGACGGTGGGTGTAGGAAGCTGTGTGTGTATGTCAATCTTTCAACTCCAAGCTCAGAGAGAAGGCTTCATTGGAGGCGTCAGAAGTGAGTGTGAGTGAGTGAGTCAGTGAGTGATTGAGTGAGTGAGTGACTGAGTGAGTGAGTGAGTGAGTGAGTGAGTGAGTGAGTGAGTGAGAGTCGCCCCTTGGCAAAAGTACGGGCACCCGCGTTGTTTCCACCCCGAGAAGGGGTTAAGACGCAAACGGGGCATAGGGCTCCGACAACGTCATGACCCTACGCGCGGCAGAGCAAGCAACCGGCATCACGTGAATCTCCATGGGCCCGCCCCCCCAAGCCAGCAGGGGCAAGCTAGCAAGGGTTGGAAGCACACTTGGCAAGACAGCCCACTTCATAGATCCAAAGCGGTTCCCGACATGATCCCTCATGAAGGTACTAAGCAAGGGATGCCGGCACGAAGCAGAGACTCTCACACGACTGCCATGTTACCAGGGACCACCTCCAGCCATGGCCAATGAAAGGCCAGCCTCTGCGATGTGGCAGCACTTCACAATGTTTGGTTTTTTGAGTGCTGGGGATGTTTCAGTTCGACGCACACTGCCGGCAAAGTTGCCACCACTGCTTCCTGGTCATCATCATCCGCACCATCACCACGATCAGCGCATTCGTCATGGTGAGTACTCACTATCATCACCTCGTTATGCTCTTGCTCATTATCTTCCTCGTCTTAATCACCGTGCGCCCCGCAGACCTCGCTGGCTTGGAGCACTCGCATGGCTTCGGTTAGCCGCTCGTAGTGCATCTGCTCCGGTGCCTTGGCGGCAACACATGCTTGGTTGCATCAATGTTCAACTGCACACGTGCTTGTCGATCGCTAAAGGTACCGTTCCGACAACCACCGCGTTTGGCTCCTCTTGTGGCACGTCACGGAACTCCTGAAGCACTTCTGAAACGCAAAAGCTTTAACTGTGTGCGGGCGCTGATTTGAGCTGATGTTTGTGCACTGTCTCCTCCATGGCCGCAGAGCTGAGCAAACACAGTGGCCTAGCAACGAGCATGTTTGCATATCACGCTCTTGTCCGACCTTACTAGAGCAACGGCACTCTCATGCAACATGATACACCGGCGCATTGCTTCTCAAATTGCTTCCTTTGCCGACTCGTCCCCTTGTTTTTGCTAACGCCACCCTCACCTCGGTTGCGGCAATCTTCGGTGTTTTGTCTGCAAGTCTGGCGGCGGAGATCGGGTGTGCTGCGGCCAAGGAGGGAAAGACGGTGTCGCTGTGAAGGGAGGACGAGAGCAAAGCACAGGAATCGAAAGTGCGGGCGAGAAAGGGAGACCAGAGCTAGTCCCTCCCTTCACAAGGCGTTGAGACCGCGAAAATACTGAAAGCAAAGCAGCAAGAGCACAACGAGTAAGAGAGAGGCAGAGAGTTGAAGAGGAGAGAAGAGGCGAACCAATTCAAGCACCACATCTTCAAAGCGAACCCCGCAGCACTGAGAAAGAGACGGCCAGGGAGCGCGAGACAGAGAGGCAGGGAGTGAAAAAATTGACAGAGGGGAGGGATGACAAGCCCAGGAAAGAACCACGACTTGAACGGGTCGTGGCACTTTCGATACAGTTTGATAAGTGCACAAGGATGGAGAACTGGGGCGCCTGCGTGCAAAGACATCGATAAGGTGTCGGCTGTGAATTGGATTTGGGGAACAAGGCTTGGGGGATTTGGAGAAGGATTCGGGATCTGTGTCGTTGAAAGGTTGAGACCCTATGGACCGGATGCAAAGTGGGGAGAGTAACAAAGCGATGGGAAGCAGTCTTGTCATGAAGGAGGCGGGTTAACGTTGGAATCGGTGTTAAGTGCTACTGCTACTGGAGCTGTGGGGTGGGTTCAGGTTGGAGGTGGCCTGGTGCTGAGTGTGTTGCAGAATGGGCTTTTGGAGGTCAGCAAGAACAAGGAGCCCAGTGAACCAACCGTCCGAGCATGATCACCCAGACAACCGACTAAACCACGGTTCCTTAGACTGAGTCTGCTTACGAATTACGAAGAGACCGCAAATGACTGTTTGGAGGCCTGCAAGTCTAGAACAGGGATGACGACCTTTGCATGTTAAACATATTAATCTCTCACTACCTCTTCGTTTGCGAGGGGTGGACCTCCGTGACGCTTGACCCTTCAGAGCCTCCAAAACACCAAGTGTCAATATGAGTGCCTTAGCTTTCGCTGCTTCACGAAATGCCGTGCAGCACGAAGCGCACTGAAGATTTCGCCATCACCTTGGCTAACCGATTACGCGACTCCAGCAAGGACTCCAATGAAAGCATGCACATGCAGCAGGTTCGAGTATCAGTATGAGGTACCCAAAAAACCTTTGCACGAAGGCCGTAACTCGAAGCCGCTGCCACTGGAAAGCCCACAGCTCTGAAACAGTGACGGCGTTTGTTGCCATCTGTAGAGGCGCTTGAATCGTGGAGTCTCACGAACTAACACCGAGCAGCCAACATGAAAGCCTGCGCCACGCAGATTCCCCTGCACCACAGAGCAAGGCTCCTGCAGAGGGAGTTGAGGGCAGGTTGGTGTGCCGTTTAGGAAGGGGTTCATGAGTCGACCGGGAATTTGTTGAAACCACAAGGAGGTCGAGCCCGAACGCAGCAGCTGAAAAGACGACAGTTCAGACAAAGAATATCGGTTTGGCGCTTATGCAGCTTGAAGACGGCTCCAGCAGCCCATGAAAACTCCTGGAAGATGAAGTGGGTCACACTCGCACGTGCAAAAGGCGAGTTTGTCTTTGCACGGGTGCCGACCACCCTTTAGCCGGGTTCTTCCCGAGCAACTGAATTCCAATGCTCAATTGAACTCCAAAACCTGAAACAAGCTCCTGAAGCCACCCAAGCGTTTTGATATCGCGAGACTAGAGCCACAAGCCTGCACACTGCAAGCGCTAGTTCAGACATTACACACAGCTAGCTTATCAAACTCTACGAGTATGCTTCTTTCAATGCAGGCACGCAGTTGAATGAGGTTCCTGTGTCTTTGAAGTTACTATGCCCCTGTATAGATACCCAAACCGTGATAGAACACCGCGGCGACCATGATACAACCACGCTCAACAGGACCACCAGGACGACCGCGACCACCATGACCACGAGGATCACCACCACGAGAAGACCACTAAGAGACCGTCAGGAGACCGTTCCATCGAGAAACCGCCAGGTGAAGCCCAGCAGACCAAACCAAGACGACACACCACGGCCAGAAAACTTCGCCAATGTACAGGAGGGATTCACGAACACGGCCAAAATACTTTCCACAAGCCCCGCAGCAAGTGCGGGAGCAGGACGGCCATGCTTCCCTCGAGAGCTGGTGCGATTCAAAGATCTGAAAGGTGGCCAATGTCTTTCCGGGGGGGGGGGGGGGCTTCCGCACGGATGTGTAAACAGTAGGACGCGAGCGCAAACTATGCCCTGCGCAGCGGGAGCCCCGTTCCGCGGAAACTCCCCCACTCGCCTCGCGCCCTGACCTCTTCACATCGACCGTTACAAAGCCAAACTGTTGTCCCCACTGGGGAAAAGCTTTTTCAACCCCCGACAGTCGGTCGTTGCCTGGGATTGGTTTGTGATGAAGCGGCAAGCTCGCACAGAGGAGCCTCAGTGCACGACATGAAGTTGCTTCCCCAACTTCTTGATTCTATCTGGGCAACAACTCTGAATATTGCCCGACCGCTCTTGCATGAACGGCGCGACGGTCCTGACATCTTGATTCAATAACTATGGACTTCCTTCAGTTGCAGATCTCACAAACTTCCAGAATCCTTTGTGGCACATGTAGCTTGTGTGTGGCAGCACTGCATCCGAGCGGCGCAATTTGGCAAGAGCCTGATGCAGAGTGAGCCAGCAGTCGGCGCAGCAAACAGGTGACAGGCCAAGAAATGCGGCCAAACTACAGGAAGGCATGAATGGCTTTGACCTCGAGTTTTGATGGGCTCGTGGTCTTTGCGGGAGGCTCGACTGCACAAGGCTGGATGGTAATTTGGTTTGCAATAAGGCTCAGTCAATCAAGGGCGAGGCGGTCACTTGGCAGAACTTGGATTCTCGGATAAAGGAAAACAGCACGGGGAAAACGTGGCTCTCTTTGGAATACCTCATGCTCGGGTTAACAGACGCTGAGGCTGCGGCTGGGACCAACACTTGGGCAAATCTTCAGAGCAAACTGAATGGAATTTACGCAAGATTGTTGTAGTGATCGGGATGATTTTGAACTGGAGGGGAAACTCTGCAAAGACATCGAGCGCGTGACTGCAGGGCCCTCCCGGTCAATACCAAGTCTAGACTGAAGTTGTCGATGATCACACTGCTGAATAGTTGATGCTGCACGCAGCCACTGTTGAGACTTTCCAACCGACGTGCCAGTACGAACCATGATAAAAATTGATCTGTGCGCCATGAAGACCCCAGTGCCAAGTGCCACGAGAGAGTGTTACCATCAGCCAGGGTTGGCATCTTCATCTCACACGTTGACGTGCTTTACAAATCGTACCGAGACTATGCCAGCAGTTGTCGTGCTCCGGTTCTGATCAGCGCTAGCACTGCCCCTTCTCAGAGTCCCTGATACCGTTGTACGAAAGAAACATATTTACATAACCACTCGAGCACATCGCATGTACCGGAACACTATGCGCCTGACTACACCTACTTCTTGTGTAAGCCCAATAGCTGGCCAGACAAGTGCTCGTGACCTGCATGACTACAGCTCGTCACAGCTAGTCACCCACAGCCCACAGGCATTATTGTCAAGCATGTGCAGACATGCCTGCGCAGAGCCTGGAATTTCTGCACCGCCAAGTATGCAAACTCCGTCCACATCCAGCAGCGCATAACCTTCAAGCTAGACTGAACCCGAGTTGAACGGCTGCTAACCCTGAATCTTCTTTCAGATGTCCTGCTTTCCAAGCATCCTCAGACCATGGACGGACATAATTCGACACATGTAGTTTTGGAACTGTCTTTCTGGCCACTGGAGTAAGGCTGAAGGCAAGGCCTCGCAGCAACAGCTGCTGGAGTCTGAATTAGAACATGGCTTCGGCACTTGTCACATTGCGGTGCGTGGCAGCAATGCAACCAACGACTGCCGACGACGATGACGACTACCACTTCTACTACTTCTACTACATTTACTACATTTGCGCCGTTTACTTCCTTTACTTTTACTTTCCCTACTACTACTACTACTACTACTACTATTACTACCACTACTGCCATGCCACCACCGCAACCACCACTTCAACTTCTACTGCTACGTTTTTTCTGCTACAACTACGACGACGACTACTACTACTACTCCTACTACTACTACTACTACTACTACTACTACTACTTCTACTACTACTACTGCTGCTACTACTACTACTACTACTACTATTGCAACTAGCACTGCCACTACCACTACCACTACCACTACCACTACTACTACTACTACTACTACCACCAGTACTACTTCTTCTACTATGACTATTGTGACCGCGACTGCCACTACGACGACTAGTACTGCGTTTTCTATGCTACTCCTTCTACCTCTAGCGTGGCTGCCGGCTGCCCGCGGACCAAGGCCGCCAGTCGTTCCAGTCAAGCTTCAGCATGCCAGCAGATGTCACGTTCACGACTATGTTTGGGATTCGTTCTCAAGGTTACTGGTCCCTCTACTGATACTTTAAGCTGCGTGTTGAGTTAGATGCTGGGTTGGATGCGGCACCATGTGTAGGGGTTAACTTGCCTCGGAAATAGAATCCGGTATACTTTCGGGAGCATTGAAGTTGTGCAGAGTTCTGGTGTGGTGCACCCTGCAAGGACTGGCTATCCGGGGCATGTTCTAATCACAGCCTTGGCTCTCGGACAGTTTGTTCCTTGGACTGCTCATGGAGTTGGCACGGTTTCGGATCTTGAGATTAGGGGTTGTGGGTTTGGGGTTACGGATGCCATGGTTTAGACCCTCAAGCAGTAGGTCACTGCGGTACGAGGCTGTTCCGGAACGGTTTGAGAATCATCCGGCAGAATCCGCAGCTGCCTAGACTCAACTGGACTGTCACTAGGGTTTAGGGTTGTGGGTTTAGGGTTTATGGAAGGGGCACCAACCGAATCGTGTTCGCATTTTGCCAGTCGCTGTTCTGCCTAGCCATATGTGAGGCACAACTTTTGCTGCATTTGTCGGACCAAATGAATGGGGTGTATAGGGCTTACAGGGATTATGGGGTTTAGGGTTTAGGTGTATAGGGTTTACAGGGATTATAGGGTTTGCAGTGCGTTTAGGGCTTATAAGGCTTAGGGGGCGATTTGATTTATGGCTTGGGATTCCCAGCTTTATTATTCGCATCTGACCGTCTCCGTCGAATGGCAGCAGAGGAACACCAAATCTTGAGATCCCGAGGCCCTAAAGTCCGGAAGCCGAAACTTCCAAAACCTTTGAGAAGCCCTAAAAAAATTAGGAGCCAGTGGGACTCCTCCTGGGGGCTATAGATCTTCACGGAGGGGTTCCCAGTGCAGGGATCTGGCTTGATCTATACTAAAGATTTCTGACTGCCTTAGACTTTCATATATTTCTGCGATTTTTGGCACTCACGAGCCCACGTGCATTTGCCCATGGCCCTCCCAAGAAAGGTCACTGCATTCCAGCAGCTCCTGGTCATCCAGCAGTTTGAGATCGTTTGGGGTGAACCCTTCCAGAGCAACCTGGGCGCAACTTTGGTGCAGGGTCCATTGGATAGAGGGTCCAGGTGTCGAATCGCAACAGGAGCAGCAGCAGCAGTAGCCGTCATCCTCAAAGTGGCTACTACTTCCACTGCTACTACTACTACTACTACTACTACTACTACCACTACTACCACTACCACCACCACTACTACTACTACTACTAGTACTACTAGTAGTATTACTACTACTAGTACTACTAGTACTACTAGTACTACTAGTACTACTAGTACTACGACGTACTACTACTAGTACTAGTACTAGTACTAGTACTAGTACTAGTACTAGTACTAGTACTAGTACTAGCACTAGCACTAGTACTAGTAGTAGTACTAGTACTCGTACTAGTACTAGTACTAGTACTAGTATTAGTACTAGTACTAGTACTCGTACTAGTACTAGTACTAGTACTAGTACTCGTACTAGTACTAGTACTGAAACGACTACTGCTGCTGCT